GTACATCAAAGTCTAAATACCTTAAAACATCAAAGTCTTAATTAATATCTTAAAAACAAACATAAAATATTTGTAAGTCCACATTTAAATGGATTAAAATCCGCGGACTTAACGGGCCGGACCTAAAAATTCCGTATGATTATATGGATTAAAAAACATGGGCCTGTTATCTGTGAAGTCCGCGGACTTACGGACCGGTCCGCGGACTCAAGTCCATATACCCACCCCTATTCATGCCCAACGCGAATGCATGGATGATGAACAACTACCTTTAATTGTGTTCTCTCTTAGATTTAGAATTTTCGTCCAACGAGAAAATGATTTTATGGCTAGTCTATTGGGAAGCTCACCCAACGAGGCATAATTTGCCCAACGAGAGAACCCATAGGGAGTTTTACTCGATTAGAAAGCTATGGTCATCCAACGAGAAGACCCATAAGGAGTTAAGGTCTCCTAGTGAGCTATGGCCACCTAGTGATGAGGTCTAGTGGAGTTTATTCACCTAACGAGCTAGAGCCCACCTGATAAGGAATGGCACAAAGAGTTTTACTCATTGAGGGAGAATAGCCTACCTAGTGACGAGCTCTAAAAAGACTTGGTTGCCCAACAAGATCCCTATTTTGTGAATTTGATATATTCTTGTGCTTTTATAAGAAGTGTTGATGTGAGATGTTGATAGTTGAACATTGTTACAAGTTGCTTTATGATGAATAAATCATGTTGTGTAATGTTGAGCTGATATATATCAAGTTGATATATGTTGAAATTGGATTATGTTTCCAAATGTTTTTATGTAGTATGTTGATTAAGTTGTAATTGAAGTTGAACTATTCTATGTTGATTAATGCATGATACATGTTGTTAAGTTATAAAGTTGAATTTAGGACCATAGGAGGATGAGTTGTTTTATAAGTTGAAAGATCCCACTATGAAGATCTATGCTGTGGTATTCTACGAGCCTAATAAGATGAAAAACCCTTCAAAGATAGAATTGAGTATTGAAGTGAAACATTATTTTTGGAAGTTGTCAATTTAGGTTTTTAGTGGATACAATATGAGGGTCAGATAGAACCATACTACTTATGAAGTGACCAATAGAGTAAAGCACAAGGTTAAAACCAAAACCCCTAACTGAGTGTTGAAAAAGAGTGCAATATTTGGAAAGTAATTAGTGGGTTAATTCCATATAGACTTAGTTGATGCACTAATGTTATGGTAGACCCAAACCCAAATTGTCCTATTCCTAATAGTAGCATTGGATTTTCCTAGTTTAAGTAGTGACATTTGAGAAGCTAAAATAGTTGGTGAATTGGCATTGAAATGCCAGATGTTGTGTTGAATTGACTTAAACATAAAAGGTTAGATGTTGTAGTTTGATAGGGTCAAACTATTCACAGTGTTGTAAGAGATCTCTTAGTTTAAATGCATGATGACACATAAAGTTGTTAAGTTATATGTTATGTTATAAAGTTGTTGGGTTGTGTATTATGTTGTTAAGTTGTTACTGAGATGTAAAGTTTTTAAGTTGTATTATATGTTATGAAGTTGCTTCTTGAGTTAATTATCTGTGTTGTTTGAAATTAAGTTGTTATTGTGGAGAAAAAACTCACACTAGAATAGGGGTTAAATAGTGTGTATCAAATACTCACATGTTTGTACAGTGAAAATAAAATAACTTATCAAACAAAGCACTAGAAAGAGTTAGATGAAACACTAGTGATTTTTATATTGGTTCACCTCAATTACTGAGACTACGTTCAGTTCTCAATCTAACCATATTAAGTTCCACTAACTTTCACAAAGTTACAAGTATTCTTTTACAAAGCCACTTTTGAAACAATCCTAAGTAGTCTTTGACTTGCTTCTTCAAGCAACTATCAAAGTATTATTTGATCAACAAGCTTCTCTAGGCTTAACACCAAGTATTTTTTCAACCAAGCCTCTCCATGCTCAAACACTAAGAATTTTTCCAAACAAGCCTCTCTAGACTCAATACTAAGTATTCATTCACACAAGCCTCTTTAGGCTCAACCCTTACAACAAAGGTAATGGATGATTACAGAATTGTTTCATCTCATCTAAACGTTATGTAATCAATAATGAAAGTACAAGTAATCTACAAAGAAATATATACAAGATTTATAATAAATGTTTCATTGTAGTTTTTCTACTTTGTATATTTTTGTATGATTCTCTATACAAATTTCTTGATATGTATCACTTCTATCTATTTTGTTCTATATGTCACTTGCTTCGTTGTTTGAAGACTTGATCCTTTTGTAATAGATTTAGAGAAGATGACTGTTGCAATAAGTTTGAGTTAAACTCATAATTTGCTTCATGAGTTGTATCGTCTGTCTTCTTTGCTAATCTTAGAGATTATTGTTGATGCATTTAATGCGAGCATTATATGCCTTTCAGCAAAGCCTGTATCTCTTATCTAATCTTGTAGGCTACTTATCATTATTTCTTTCTAAAATAAGTATGGCAGAAACAATGTCAACGTAGAGTAGTTAAAGTTAGCATAAAGTAGTCTTTTGCAAAGCCTTTTCAACGATATCTAGGATTTTGCTTTTTATTTTTGACGGATATTTTGTCTTTTCATTCTTTAATAGATTTCAAGAGTTCTAAAGCTTTTTTCTTGTTCGATCTATTAAGAAATAAAACATTTAATGAAACTTAATGTTCGTTTCACTTAGAAGTATACGTTTAATGTATAGAGACTATATGTTTTGCCTGATTTTCTTCATCTTATAGACGATATATATTTTTCACATTTCGTCTGATATGGTATATCTTTATAGATATTTAACTTTGCTCAAAAGAAAATTTTTCATTTGTTATCATTAAAACTTGAGTGATCCAAAATTGTCTTTTGACTTAACAATTATATTATTTCTTAGTTGAAGTTGATGATGTTTATATAGTTAGCCCATTGCTTGCTATCTTATATGTTGAATCATTTTACACATATTTACCTTTGTTTTTTTATGTGTTAGACTACTATGATCATACTTGGTATGTGAGAAAGTCAAGATTAGGGTGGGGGGTGAGCACATTGGTTGGCCATTCAAGAAATGGTGCTTTTGTGGAGTTTGTTCTAATACAACTATGAATACGTTAATGTTTGACTGACACTTAGGGATTTATAATTTATAGTACTAATTTTTGTTTTATATATGCATAGGGATTGTTGTAACCCCATAAAGAGGTTCATGTTTCTGGACCACTAATATAACTTTATTTCTTACCATTTTACTTTTCTCGTCAAATTTGTTTTCGGACACTCATTTGGTTCCTATGATGTTTTGGCTTTGGAAGAAACGTCCATACTTGGTTTCTCTCAAACTGATGAAGTTCTTCTTTCATTGCCAAAATCCAATCATTATCCTTGATTGCTTCCTCTATAATATGTTAGGCTCAATTTATGATACTAAGGCGTAGGATGCATTATCTTTGAAGACATACTTAGTTTTGATTCCTTCAGCTTTATCTTTAAGGATCTGATCTCAAGGATGGTAGGTCATAAACTTTCAATCTTTATGAGGCTTGACAGTATTGCCTTCGTTCAGTCTAAATTCCTTTTCTGGCTCTAATCGCAAATATGTAAAATGTTTTTCAAGATTTGATAGTCTATCAAATCTTGAAACCTTATATAGATTGATTATTCCACTACAAAAATTTTAGAGTTGAAAACTCTATAACAAACTAGTATTTTAGTATATAATGCTTATAACTAAAATTTAAAATAAGTTAGGTATACAAATAAATACTATGTTTATATAAAATTATATTTAAAATTTAAATAAATAGATATTTTTAAATATATAAATTATATTTTAGATTTATGATAAATAATTTATATTGTAGGATAATACTATTTTTTATTTATTTATAAATTATTTAAAAATATTAAATTCAATTTATAAATAATTATGATAAATAAAAATTAAATTAAATATACTATTAAAAAAATCTTTAAAAATTCTTTTGCCAAAGAAAAACTTTTAAAAAAACTTTCACATAAAATAACTATTCATATTTTACACACAAGAATTGATTGAATGCATATTTTTTTCTTCTAAAAATAAATTAAAATACTTAAAAAAATTTACAATAATTCACACATTATTCAATTGAGTAAACTCCTTGATAAAGACGCTTAAATTTAAAAAATAAAAACACGATGTGAGAAGATATAATATAAGAAAAAAAATCGAAAAACCATTTCCGTGGAAGAACACATATTTGTCGTAACGCAAAACAAAAAAAAAAATCTTATGTATCGATATTTCCTCATTCCATTGTCCTCACCTCATCACTCATTCTTGGCTTCTCCTTTTTCAAAAAACTACCAAATTAATATATATCTATTATAAAAAGTAATAGAAATATGTAATTATTTTTAGTCTCTATTTTTTAATAAATTATTATATCTCTCAAATATATATATTTTTAATATATTTTTTAAATAATTATATATAATTTTTTAATATTTTAATTATATATAACTATTAAAAACACATCATCTTTTTTTTTGGTTCGTCTCAAATATATATATTTAACGCAGCTGCATACACAAGGCAGGATTTGAACCCCTGACCTTACTTAAGCGTGGATCAACCCCTATCGCTCAACCACATGCTTGGGGTTTAAAGACACATCATCTAATTTAACTAATGAATATCTAGTTTCATATTTTTTAATCATTGAATAATAGGATGAGGCAGTTGATAAACACGAGCCTGTGGGCCCAACGAAAGCAACCTCTAATGCTAGCTGAGCCACGATATGGGACATTGGACTGGCCCAATGGGCCCACACATCCAAACCCAAAACACAACCATAGAGATTAGAGAGAGAGAAGAAAGTATTAAGTAACATAGAGATTAGAGAGAGAGAAGAAAGTATTAAGTAACCAATGAGGATGCAGCATTTGATAGACTCTCTCAGAGCCACTACTTTAGATACACACGCGTACACGTGTCGACCCTGCGCCTCACTCCTCCTCCACTCGTGAACCCCTCGCGTGACGTCACGTGCGCTCTCTCTCTCACTACTCACTACTCAATACTCCCTCCGTCGCCGTTTTACCCAAAACTTTGAAACCTCTTCTCTTTCAAAACTCTCTTCTCTTTCTCCGCTTTGCGTCACTGTTATGAGCGAGTCCTCTGCGGCGACGTCGTTTGGCCTGCGTCTGATTGGTTTCATGCTCGCGTTTTTGTGCTGATTTTCTCTGTGAAATCTTCTCGGGGTTTCTCGGCGATGAGTGAAATAATTCGTTCTCTTGTGTTTGATTCCGCGTTTCGCTTTTTTAACCGTTGTGCTGCGCATGTAAGAAATGTTTGATTGGAACGACGAAGAGGTTAGTTAGTTTTTCAAATTTTCCTATTGCTTGTGGTAATTAATTTGATATTTGATATATACGTATTTTGGTTTGTTAGGTTTTTTTAATAAACGTGCTTAGGTTATTGTTATTGTATAATAATTTTTAGAAACATTCCTTTGGGGTGTGTTTTCGTGGTTTGAGAGTTGAGTATGGAATGATTATACGAAATTGAAATTAAGGTGAAAATGTTGTCTTGTGTTGTTGCAATTTTTTTTTAGCTTTGTTGTGAAATTCTTGTAATAAAATACAATGTTTATGCAATGGTTGTTGAAAATTAAATATTGGGTACTTTGACCAACGGTTGGTCTCATTTGTTGTGCTGTGTCTTAGAGGTTCAAATCTGAGCTATAAGGAAAGAGAAAAGACTTTGGCTTCTGTAAACTGCTATGGCCATTGCAGCTACAAAAAAGTGAAGTGACAGAAAGCTTTCTTACAGAGTTGCCATAGTATTTACTTCATTACTTGTGTCTATGAATTTCTCTATCGGTAGCATCTGAAGTCTTTTATCTTTCTTGTTGGGTTTTGCCTCATCAATATTTCTTATACGTTTTACAATGGATTGTTTTCAGCTTGCTAACATTGTATGGGGTGAGGAGGGCGAGACTGATGATCATATTGTGCCTTATCCAGAGGCAAGTGAAGATCTTCGTGACAAGAAAGGATGGAATCAAGAAGATTCTGTCACTAAACTGATTGAGCAGAAGACAATAGAGGCTAAAGCTGAAATTCATCAAGGAAAGCAAGGAAGCAGTTCCAAACTTGATATCATTGAGGGACAATCTCCCACAGAATCTGGAACAAAGTCATGGAACGACTTATCTTTATCCAGTGCAGCTAAAACTGATCAGGGTTCCCTGGGTGCTGAAGTATCTAAAAATTTAGGTGAAATTAGCAAATTTATTTCAGCAAAGAGGTTGCTTATTGGTGGAATTATGAGTAAACTAGATAACATGTATGTCAGTGTGTTTGCTTGTTTGTGAAGATGTATGTCTTTTGGTTTCTTCTGTGTTCATCATTATATGAAAAACAGTAAACATGTATAGTATGTTGTTATAGTTTATCACTTCTAATTATTTATATTTGTGACAGAAGAGTCTACACAGATAGAAAAGGACGAAGAGAAGCAAGGTGATTTTGCCAACTATGCCTGGGATAACATCGGAAGCTTTGATGACCTTGATCGAATTTTCAGGTAAAGTATATTATCTGTACTATTCTTATGTGGTACATGCATTTTCTGAGGTAATAGTTAACTTGACTCTAATTAGATATTTTCTGAACTTGACCAGTAATCATAATGGATAAAACTCCTCTCTTTCTGAAAACTTGTGTTACAACTGCTTTCTCATGGATCAATCTGAGTATAAGTGCTCTTAGCCCTGTTTCTTTCAAACTCAGATGGAGCCATGTCTGCATCTATGCACAGTTGTAGTGGCAATAAGAGTGTCTAGGTAACATTAAAAATGAAAAGAGGAATTCTGGAAATAATATATAGGGAGTAAGTTCCACTAAATAGGCACTGGGACCCACATATTTAGCAAGTTCCACATTAATTTCACCCAACAATAAAGATAGTTAGAAAAAATGTACTATAGTTTGTTGGTAACATTTACAACATGAAAAAAGGATGATGTTACGATGTCAAATTTATGAAAATCTCCTGTTCTTCACTCATTGAGCATTTTCATGCTGCCAACTTTTGATATTGTTTATAGGTATTTTATAGTTCCTTGCATTAATTATATTGCATACATGATGAATACCATTGAACATAAGTGCTAACGTTCCTATTTAACACTAAATATTTATTGAACTACATCTGTCCTTATACTCAGTTCTGTGAGCTTTCATTGTTTACAATGGTATACGTCTGACTGAATATTCTCACAAGTGATGATCTTGCAGCAATGATGACCCTATATTTGGCAATGTAAGTCTCGAGAATTCTGATGAGCTGTGGTCTTCGAAAGATGTCAGTAGCAGTACAGTACCAATACTCTTGGAAGCACCAAGCCCAGCAAGTGCTTTAAGGAACAGATCTGAGCCTTTGGAAATTAAAGCAGAATATGCTCAACAGAATGATCAATCATTTTCCCCCAGATTTAAGAGGATCAGTGATTCTTCATCTCATCATGATATTCAGAATGCTCCTGCAAACACATACAATGTAGGGTATGCAAGAGATAGAGTTATCCCTCCTGAAAAGGAGCAGCAGGTATGTCTTACCATATTGGAGAATGACCAGTGATGTAAAATGGAAACAAAGACTCAAAACCACTCAATTGAAATTTTCAATATTTTGATATCAATAATAAGCTGATATCATAAGATAAATTACATGTTTTTTAAGGGATACTCAAAGACTCTTAATCTTCAAAGTTCAGCATGTGAGGCAACCCAAACTTAAGCCTCAAGGAATCCTTGTCCTAATCCTAATATAAGTAAAAGATATTATAACTTGGGATACGATACCCCAAGACCCAAACAAATAAACCCAAAATTCTGAATTTTTTAATAAATGATAATCCCTAACTCCTCAATTACAATCCCTAAGTCACAGCTTAAGTTGCACATAAACTACTATTTCCTTAAAAATTATCTTGTTGTCTTAACCTGCTTCAATACTATCTTGTTTATTACATTTTATCTAGTTGACTAATGAAATTACTTAATTCAACTTCTTACCCTACAAACTAATCAGGATATGGTAGGGAGGACCACTCCTGTGACCTCAACCTTAGCTTCTGAAAATGTTCCAACTGCAAAAGGACTTACTGTTAAGGTATAGCTCAAATTATTTTAGAAAAGTATAATGGTAGTGTTTGATAATTGTTTCCTGGTTTGATATATATTGCTGATCCCAACTAGCGGGAAAAAGATTTTGGTTATTGTGTTTCTATTATCTAATTTACAGACTTATTTAATGCTATCTTTAGCTTTGTTTGAATAAAGCATTGGATGTATGGAATGCATGAGTTCGGGTTAGTATCTAATAGCTGATGAGGGTTTGCTCAACTGGTAGGATCAAACTTCATCAACACGAAGGTTTAAAGGTGTTCAATTCCTATTATCAGTCCTTCGTTGGTAGGTTATTTGTAAGCCTTAATTGAGGCTTGTGGCTTACTTGACCTCTGCATGGAGCAGCCCCCCCCAGTCTAATAAAATAGTAAAAATACTCTGGATATATATAATAAGATCTTAAAAATTCTCAGCTGTTTTGATTAATTATTATTAGCTTCAAAATTCGAAATCGGTAATTTGAAATTACAGCTAAAAAATGGAATTTACGAAATTCCTTCTATTCATTCTTTCCGTTGGTTTTGTTTTCATTTCCACGGTTCATTTTTTCCATGTCCTTTCTGTGCTTACATCTCACTGAGCCTTGTTTCCTTACTCAACTGCGGAAGTAAATCATTTACTCACATCAACAGAACCTTGCTGGCTCAATGGTGCTTCATGCTCAAGTTCATGGATAAGCTCAAGGGAAGGTAATAGGAATGGACTCAGGAAAAGAGAAAAGAATTCTGAAATTTTCTTTAATGGAATAATAAAATACTGCAGAGTTCATAAAAAAGGAAAAATGGAGCACTGCTCCTTACGATGGAATTCCTGGAAATAGAAAAGGAAGCTAACTCCAGAGAAGGACCACCTCCTTGCTCTTGTAACCACCCAAACCAATATCGCCCAAAAAAGACTACCTCCCCTCTCTCCTCTAATACTCATTCTCATGATTACCACAGATTCCACACATTGTCTCCTTCCCACTCACTCTTCTCCACGTGTCCCTTTCTGTTACTCTATCTTTCTTTCACATCCCTTCCCACTCATTTTTGTGTCTTCCGTCATTCATCCCTCTCATCCCCCTGAAGGTGCTGACTTGGAGGCCCATTTTCCTTTTATTTGCCTTGCTCTCCTTCCTTTCTATTCTTCTTTTATTACTTATCTTAAAGGGGCCTATCAGAAGGTACCCAGATATGCTATGCATTTTTCATCAACAGTGAAGGCCTTCAGTTTATGTTGGGTCTTCTGGACATTTTATTCTTGGGAAAACTTGTTCTATGGATGTATCTACTGTATCCTTTAATGTTATTACATTTGAACTGTGCCTTTTGTTTGTACTTGATACTTCAAATGATTTTGTTGTTGAAGAACATGGCGGTGCTCATTGTCTTGAGGGTGATGCTGTAATTTTGCTTTTGTTTTGCATTTAGAAGTCATGTGCCCATTTTTCAAATGGTCTTGCACCACTGCTTTGTAATCCTTGATCATAAACACCCTAGACTAGTGAAATTTTTGCCACTAGCTTAGCTAGACAAGTTAGTCATTTGTTACCTTTCTTTTACCACCCTTGCAGCTTCTTAAACAATGCTAATATCTATTGGTAAATTTAATATTCCAAACAAGGAATTTTATGAATGAAAATATTTTATTGATGACTTGGACTTTACTACCTCCTATTTTAGTTTCATGCTCACAGTTGAACATTTTAGAGATGTGTAGGCAGCATAAGGCTTTATGTCCAATCTATTTTGTGCTTTGTGAGGTCAGAGATTAGTGGTTACTGGTTACGTGTTCCTTCACTGCTAAGTTACTTGGAAATTTGGAATATGTTTGTTGGCATTTTTAGGAGCAAATGATTTTTACATGGAGGATGTGTTTCTTGGTTTGAATTGTTTATTTTCTGTCTGCTCTTTTTATAGAACTACACATCTGTTGTGTCTTTCTATCCTATGTGAATGTTTTTTGTTTATCAATGTTTTCATAGGTTTCTTACTTTCCTCAGCGTGACTATGTGCTGCCTGTGGAAGTCATCTTTTTTCCTTCTCAAAGTAAACAAACTGTTTAATCTTTTAGTTGTTATTCAGGATTTTGGGCAAAAGAATCAGTTCAAAGCTCGGAAAAAATCACAAGGTAAACAAGAGGGAAAAACATTGCAGGAGTTTTATAGTAGCTGGTCTCCTTCATCAACCACATCTGGAAAATTTCAGAATCAGCTGGTGTCTTCTGTCATACAGTCTTCTCCCTCTTCAATTCTTGGGCAACAGAACCAGCTTCAAGGACCTGAAACACTATACCAGGACATAACCAATACATATGTGACATCTCCTGCGTATGGGAGCCTTACAAATACATATCCGTCTATCAGTTCTATGTCAATGCTACCACAGGCACAGTCAGGAGTTCTTATGCAACAGCATCTGCTTTCTGGGTATGAAGCGTCACTTGGTGTAATGAATCCTGTGAGCAAGCCTGTGGACTTAGTCAAGCCTCTCATTATGACTCCCCAGGAAAAAATTGAAAAGTTGAGGAGGCGGCAGCAAATGCAGGCAATGCTTGCTATTCAGAAACAACAGCAAGAATTTGGCCATCAAATTCCTAGCAATAATAAATCTATGAATAAAAAATGTGACATAGAAATGCATAGTCAAGTTTGTGATGGGGCAGATCCTGAGATTGAAGATTTAAGAACTCTTCCAGCTCTAGATCCACCAACTGAGCAAGATGATTCTAATACAATCTCCTCGGCAATTGATGATCATTTTGTTGAAGACACTGTGCTGTACATGCTTCAGGATATTATATCAAAGGTGAGGTTGAGTCATAATGGTTTAAGCTGTGTTGTATAGTTTTTTTCTTCTATATTAATGCAGCATAGCTACAGTCCTGATGCAAACTTTTTCTACAGTTAGATGTCAAAATAAGACTCTGCATCAGGGATAGCTTGTTCCGGTTGGCACAAAATGCAATGCAGAGGAATTATGCTAGTGATACAAGCAGTGCAAACAACTGTAGCACAGAAGAACATAAAGTTGTTGCAAGAGAAGAAAGAAGTAGCCAAAACAGGTTTGGAAAACTATTAAGAAGCATAGCTACTTTAATTTCATGACTTGTTTATTTACATTCATCTCATCGGTCAAGCTCTTATTTTTGAAAGTTAAGCATCATTCTTTCTTCATTTCTAGTGGATAAATTCAGAATTTTAAGAACAATTTATCTGAGGAAAGTAATTGGAAATATGATGGGATACTGGATTTTGTGCCTGAGTCAAATAATGTGGCTGGAAAGGAAAAGAATCAACTATTCGATTCAAGTCCAGTGAAACCAAAGGTTTGGATGGTTTACTTCCAGAGGCAGAAAGATGGGAGAGCGGGCGGAAATTATTAGATGATGCTGAGGTGTCAAGTTTCTTAGGAGTGGAGTGGAGAAAGATTGAGGTAGTTCCAAGGGAAAAGAAAGTTGTTATTGTGAGGGGACTAGAGGAGCCATGAGCTCTGGTTTATGAGAGATATTTCTGACTTTCTGTATTGAGTTTCATTTTTGCTCAAATTTTGGTACCAATATACACTTTTTATTTATTTATTTATTTTTTATTTTTTATTTTTTTAATATTATGTACCTCTCATTGGGTCTGACTTACCAGTTGTTTCAATTCCTCATGCCGATTGTGCCTAAGATGGAAGATAAGGTTGAGGTGTTGGAACTTTAAAGCTATGGTTGCTACGCTGGAGGATTCAGTTCAGGGTTCCATGGTGGATGTAGTTCCCTAGGAGGTGGATGTTTTATGTTTTTGAGTGGTGGTGTTAACTTGGATCAGTTTTGTATGGCCACAAAGAAGGTCGATGTTTCATGATGATGATGACCCTGTGGACTGGATTACAAGTGGAGACCTATTTTGAGGTTAAAGGCACTTCAAAGGATATCAAGGTGAAGCTTTCCCATTGAAGTATGGATGGTCACACGATTCATTGGTTCAATTTGTTGAGGAAAACTGCAGAGGTGAGGACCATGTTACATAGTTGAAGCTGAAGTGTGATTTAATTGATCGTTATGGAGGGAGATGCTATGATATCTGTTTGAGCCTTTGAGGAACTATGGGATTTTCATTGGAAAGTGTTGATGAAAACATTGCAGAATTTGAACTCCCCATCCTAAGTTAGTCAGTTAATACAAGAGAAATATCTTTGATATTTCATGGGTGGTTACACCTCGACATCTACATACAGGTTAGGACATTTAATCCTCAAACAAGGTCGCACATGATGAAGGTATAGGTCACTAGCTCAGGCTATTGAACGGGAAATAATTGGAGATGAAGAAGAGAGGAACATGTCAGTCTCACATGGTCAAAATGGTTCATTTATCATTTGGGCCCTCTTACAATAGTTTCAGGTTCAACTAGGGTCAAAAGAATTGGAGCCTCCAAACTTTATGGGTAACCTGAGTTCTATGAATAGAGGAATAGGTGTATCTTCATCTGGTTCAGGTCTTGTTGCTTCAACTATCCAAAAGAATTGAAGATATCACTCCACTTGATTAAGTTTTAAGTATTCGGGATCTAATATTACAAAATAAGAGAAAAAATGATGCTATGCACAATACAAATTGAGTGGTTAAAATGGAGAAAGGTACTATTCATGACTGAAAAATGCCTATCAAGCTCAAAGATAAGTTTTATCATACAACTATAAGTTCCTCCATTGTCTGTGGTAGTGACTGTTGAGCTCTAAAGAAACAACACGAGAAAAATTGAGAGTAGCAGAAATGATATTGTGAAGATGGACATATGGCTACACAGGAAAGGGTAGGATACAAAATCGATACATTTAAAGAGATATTAGTGTGTCACTGATGGAGAAAAAGATGACATAAAACCAGGAGAGAAAATAAAATCAGATAAGGTTTGTAAAAGAATACAGTTTCCTTTTCTTTGTGATATTAGAAATATGTAACAAATGATGAAGTGCTAAGGAAATTATAGGGTTAAAATAGGGAGATATGTGGAACCAAAATTGCAAATTGAAAGACCTTGACCATCGCCAACATAAATCTGATTTGGGCCCTTGAATGGGGTTAGCTGCTGGATCACGTGAAAAGAGGCACTAGAGGCACAATATCATGTTTGGTTGGCTTCATTGCCTGAGTTGGCAATAAAAGCCCGAGGTGAACAATATTGTTGAGGTAAGTGCTGTGGCATCTTCTGAGAATTCAGATGTTGTGGACTTGTGGCATGTAGGGGTGACCTTGACCAGTGTTAATATAAGATGCTGAAGGCCATGCTGAGGAAGTTGATAAGAACCTTGGGAGAACCACACCAGAAAAGCTAGTTGTTGTGGTTGGAGAGCTTAAGGCCTTATTAACCCCACACTGAAATCCCATACTTCCAGTCTAGGACTCAAGTCTCATACCTTGTAATTGGTCCCTAACATCCCACTATGCTTTGTAGCCTCGGTGCCTATGCAGTCTGGCTGTACACTAGCCCTGGGTATGCCCAAAGGCTCAATCCTCTCACAAATGACAAGATATCCCTCGTTTTCCGCCTCTTCTCTTTTTTATTGGCAATCCACGATTATTTTTTATCTCACCCAACTAGCTAAAAAATATCAACAATTACTAACAGAAAAAACAAACTTTCCAATTACTAATAGATTGACAACTAAGTAAGTGACTAACAGGCTATCAAACAGAAACATTTTGACCTGGGGGTGTGGTGGGTTGAAATTGCTGGTCAAAACGATGATAACAGACAGTTGCTGTGACAGTGAGACCAAACTTGAGAGACACATTTGGATCCAACCAAGGAGGATTTTTTCTTGTTGCTCCCATGCAAGAAATGCTGGGTTGATGTGATCCAAGTCTCAAATAGAGAAACTAGGGTGGGATTTGGCATAGCAGGAAAATGTTGCATTTATGTGCCTTAATGACAGGTTCCAGCTGTTAGTGCCATAGCAGATTATTTATTTATCTTGGAGTTTCTCTTTGATTTGATGCAAGAACGACACAGGAGCCAAAAGATTAATAGAATATATATTTGACTTTAATGGCTCATGAACTAGGCTAAGTAAATTGCTGGTTTTAATTTTGTTGAAATGAGATGTATACGTGTCTTAAAACTGATTATATAATTATGACTTTAATAGGGGTGTCTGTCCTGGTTAACCATATTAAAGACGATCGTACTGTCCCCACTAATCAATTGGCCTTCTGGTTATTGAATATCATGATCATGATTTGCTTTCTGAGACACTAACTTTTCCGTGTATGAACCATATCACAGATGTACTGGGAATGGGATTGCTGATGTTGAAACGAAGACAAATCCCATTGATCGAACTGTGGCTCATTTGCTCTTTCATAGGCCTTTGGAGTTGACTCGGAATTATCCTGACAAACTGGAATCACCTATTTCTGCTAAGATGCAATTTGAAAGCAAAGGAACTAACCTAGAGAACTTTCTCATGGGGTGCTTGCCAGATGAGGACTTGAACAGTAATCAACAATTTTCTCACCAAGGGCTTAAGAATTCTTGCTGTGTGTTTGAGACCCTGTCCAAGGACCAATTTAAAAACAATGATTGCATAGATACTTCGGAGAATGCTTCTAACAATGAGCTTGCTGATGCTGGAGATCAGGTGCTTGAAGCCTCTCAATGAAGAAAAAAGTTCCCCAGGAATGCGAGGGTAATTCCTTCCTTTATTATTTCACTGATTATTGCTATGCTTTGGTCATTTGATTGATTATATATGGATTTGCTGGTAATGCAAATGTTCTCTGTAATTGTCAACTGTCTGGATCAAAATCAAGGCAACCGTTAAAGTCTACCATGACAGAATCCTGATCACCTGTTTCACGCATGCATGTAATCAATAATATTTATGTTTCTTATGTCAAAACCTTTGACAGTATGTATCTCGGCATATGAACTTACTCATTTTGGTGAGTGCCGAATTATGTTAATAATGACTCAGATTTGTGTAGTAGTAGTAATGCCACTCATGTCAAAGACTACGTCAGATTTGTGTTGTAGTGATACCCCAGTCAAATAGTCAAGTCTTGGCCTCATTGGTTTGGACTAAATGGTGTGTTGTATTTCTGTATAGCTTGCACCTTTCCTCTGTTACATAATTATTTATTTATTTATTTATTTTTATTTTTATTTTTTTTAGAGGGGCACGATATTTTAGGGATGCTTAGGTCATCTAGCCTTCCTACAACTTTTTGTGTATATGACATACTCACACCAAACTTAGAGTCCTTGTTATGTGGGTTTAATGCATACTAACTGAACTTAGAATCTTTTCATCTCATCATGACCAATTGTTCTCTAAATCTTAGAGGTGTTGGTTAACAATTTGTTTTTCTTGTTAGCTTGAGTTTTAATGAAACAGAAGAAAATTCAATGTGTGACCCAAAAAGGTAACACATGGTAAAAATAAATAGTTCAATTTAATTTTTTGGCCAATGGTATAAAAAGTTTTTAAGGGTGCTTTGATCATATCCTAACATAGATGAAATCACATAATTGAAGATTGAAGTAAAACCCAATTGAATAGAAGAAAATGTGTATGTTATGATGCCTTTTATTTTTAATGCTTTCTTTTGTTTTGCTTGTACACTCTTCTTACTTCATCATTCATATTATGCCCATCCTCATTCACATTGTGCATTTTCTATTCTTTATTGTTTGAGGGCTTGACCTTTATATAGTAGCTTCAAAGAAGATAATCGTTGCAGCAACGTTCAAATTTAAATGTTCATGTTTCTTCATGTGTTGCTTTGTCTTCTTGACTGATCATAAGGATTATCGTTGATGTGTTTAATGCAAACATTAGTTGTTGATTAGAGATACATGTATCCCTTATCTGATCTAAGCAACTACTTATCATTTTTTTCTTTTATTTTCTGAGTGTCGTAGAGTGGTGTTAACACAAAGCAGTTGGGGCTGGTGCAAAATAGTCTTTTTTAGTGTCTTGTTTGTGATATTCGGGATTTTCTCTTTCTATCCTGACAATAATTTGACATTCTCTTTTTGAAAGCTTTCATTTTTATTGAGGAAGATTTTCATTTGATCCATTAAGGAATAAAGTACTAATTTTTCTTAAAGAATAATCCGTCTCTTTAACGAGAAATAAATATAGTATTAATCCAAATCTTGCACTTTGTCTAGTGCACTTCGTCTTACAGATGAAATATAACATCTGTTTCGTCTAAAATAGTTTCTTTTAGAGAAACTCGTGACTTCTTATTATTGTCATAAAAGGTGTTTTTATAAAACTTTAATCTGTTTAAAAAAATTGTTTATCATAAAAAATTATAACACCTTAAGAGATTCAAGATTGTCTTTTGATTCTTTAGACTTCTTTTTGATCTACAATTAGGGAAAACCCCTAGTACATAAGAACACAACATATATAGGATTAGGGCCAATCCCACTACTCGATATACAAATTTACACCTATAATAAGGTTTTTCACCCCTTACCTGGATAAGCTTAAGATGATGGATGCACGATTCTTGAGTGATTTCCTTCCTTTTGTTCTCCAAGCTCTAAAGCACGTACATGAAAATAGAGACATAAAAAGAGTTTGGTTAGAAAACTCCTCTTTTAAAAATTGTAGTTTCCTTTTAACCTTCTAGTTAAACATATTAACCCCAATTATCCTGAAGATCCATTCCCTTTTTAATAAAATATTATGTTATTTTTTTAATAAAATATCATATAATATATTTTAAAACATATTACATAATTAAAATAAATATTTAAAAGTCCTATTAATAAAATAAAAATATCAAAATTATTAATAAAATACTTATATTATATGAAAAAGAGGTATTATATATTATGTGTTATGGCTCTAATACCATTTTAACAACCCTTATATTTGACTTTTTAAATACTCCACTTCACGACATTTCACATAGTGACACTTCACACAATTTCTTGTTGGTCAGAATCTTTCATAAGTCAGAATCTTCCATGGGTAGCCCTTTCTGAGATGTCAAATTAGAGGGGTGTTAAGGTAACTATAGGGTAACTATGGGGTAGCATGATTGATCCTCAGTCCCTAGGTTCTATGTGTGCATATAGGTGAGTGATTAAACCTGAACCTTATATGAATTGGCAATGTGTGAATGTTGTAATTAAAATAAAATGTGTATGTTATATATGCTTATGTTGTGACAATGATGTGATTGTGAATCTGTGAGTGCCTATGGGTTCCCGAAGGAACCTTAAGGATGCATCTAAACCCTTGATTGGGAAGTGAATTGAAATAATTATAATTGTATGATTAAAATGGGGATTACTTAAATTATAAATACCCCTTTAACAATTTAAAATCGTAAAACTCATAGAACTCATCTCTGTGTTAATTCGTAGAGTGTGCCTGATCAGGCACACCTTGATTTTGGACTTAATTTTCATGTGTGTATATGCATGTGAGTTGTGTATATTTGATCTTTTCTATAAATCTATACTCATTGTAAATTTTGAAAGTATTGATGATTCATGATTTTGTTTTGATTCCTTAGGATTACTTTATGCATGTGAACCAATTATTTGATAATCTTTATGAACTAATGATTGAGATAAGAATTATGTGCATAATTTGAAAATTGAGAATCTATGTGATGTTGATGTGAACCTATGAAATTGAGAGATATGTGATTTACAATATGTGTAAGTGATTATGTGAATAAACCTAAGTATATCTTAGGAGTGTGGTTTGGGTGGATGGCCTAGCATTAATGTGACTAATATGATGAGAAACAATTTATGTGTATTGTAAATGTGATTAACATGACAATGTATAGAGTTTGCATGACATACATCATGTGCATCATATGTTTTTGTGATGAATATGATGCATAATACACTGCTAGGGAAGGTCCCCTTGTGTAAAAGTTTAGGGATTAGTCCTTAGGAATAGTTTTGTTTTGGAAGCCTCAGTCTCACCCATTGTGTGCATGAGGCGTATTGTGCTCAACTTAATTATCTTGACGAGACCCTATTAGTATGTCCTTCTAGTGAGAGTGTTGTGATAGCTTGACCTGACATGTACTTCTAGACTATTCATCCTTTGGACAGGGATAAAGTGCTTTATAGGTGCCATATGCATAGTTAGAAAAAGGCTAGTCATTACATAATCATAACATGTATTTGAATTATAATGTGGTTTATGTTGTAATGTGCTAAAATGTGAACTATGGAGTAGTGTTTTGATTGTCATTCTATATTTGTATCTGGATCGAATAACGTCATTAATATTTTGTTTAAGTATTTTTGTTTGTGTGACTAATTGACCTTATTCTACACCAGTAACTAGAGTGTGTAATGTTCTCACTCTCTTATTTTTCTTGTGTTTTCTTTCTATGTGTCTTTGTAAGAGACTTTCTTTTTGGGGGAATTTAGTTGATGGAAGGGAAAGCTATGATACCTGTGTTATTGGGGATTTTGGAATGTTATAGGAAATATAACTTATTTCTTTAAACACATTTCCTTAATTTTGTAATAGTTAGATATTTAGTTTTTGAATTTGAAAGTGTGATACCTTTTACCTTTATTTGGAATTATTCAATATAATATTCTTTTTAGAAAATTTTATTTTATAGTATTATGCATGAGAAATAGAGGGTGTTACATTTAGTGGTATCAGAGTCGGGTTGATACAAACCAAACTTGTGTATGATTGTGTTTTCATGTCTACTCTAATTTGTGTTTTGTTGTGTGTTGTAATATGATTGTTTTCCTTGATTCTTATGATTGCTTGTTTTGATACTTCTTATGTAAGAAGTAGTGGTTGTGGGTGGTGTTGTTCGTGTTGCAAGCATAGGTACGAGTAGCGATATATGACACTTTATGTTAATCAACTACAAACTGCTAGAAAATCCTTTTTCATGTGATGTTGAGCCTCTAAAATTTGATGTTTTAATCCAAGATAGTTGTTTCATGAAAAAACCTATTTTGTTATCTTTGATTCTTGTACAACTTATTTCTTCATGTTCCCTATTAGCTTGTAAAAACTTTCAATTGTTTGTAGTGCTGATTTTTCTAGCTATTGTAGAATAAATTACACGTCAAGTCATACCTATATAGCAATTACAACATTTCAAAATTTGTAATAAAATTTTATATAAAAAAATTTATATTATCTATAATATAAATTGTTAAAACCTTACTAGGTAAAAACCACACCATAATCATATTTTCATTCATAAAGAAACTATACCATAGTTATATATTCATCCACAAAGTGATCGAAACCATATACAACTAACATGAAGAAAAAGTCTTATTTTAATACAATTTTTTTCCTTCTCATTTATACTAATAGGTTTACATCCCAGTTTGGTATAGATTTACTATTGGGTTAACGTGATTGGCTGTGAGTAAATAGAAAGTAACTACTATTTGACCATCTATAATAACAAGAGTTTGCTAGGTTGGTGAAAATACAAATGATGATACTCCTATGCCCTGAAAGGTAACGAAATTTGTAGCTACATCAATACCACAACTCATACATGAAAAAACGGTCGTGATAATGGAATTGAAAGGATATGGTATTGATGGTAAATCCATCTATTTTGCAAGATTTTTAATTTAATTTTAATACAAAAAAAAAGAAGTGAGAACAATTATCTAATAAATACAATTAAATAAATAAAATGTACAAAATTATGTATATAATTTATATATATATATATAGGAGAG